GTTCCTTTTGGTTTCCTTTTGATGTCCCAGTGAAGCCTTTCGATTTCCTGTTGATTCCCTTTGTGGGTAGTGAATTTCCCTTTGAAAGGTGGACATGATAGTTGAGCCAATAGATGGCGCAACTCATTTCCTTCCCCTTCACATCCCCTCTTCTTCCATACCCGTTCCCTTCCTGTTTCCTTTCCTGTTCTTTTTCTTTCCTTGCCCCCTGCCTTTGTTTTGAATTTTTCTGTTCTGTCTTATTTTCTTGCCTTTTACAGTCTTTTTGTTTAATTTCCTCTCCTCCCCTCTCCTTTTTTCCACTCCATTCCTTCACTTCTCCTTTCCATCTCCTTCCCCTACCTTTCCCTCCCCGTTCCCTTTCATTCTGCTTCCAGGACAACGCATGAGAACTGCCCAGCAGATGGCGCACCCCCTGTGTGAAAGGTAACACAGCACTGATAGTGGAGCCAATAGATGGCACAACTAAGTTCCCCTCGCCTTCCTGTTCCCCCTCCTTCCCTCTCCTGCTCATGTCTGCATGCTTTCCTTTTCCTGTCCTTGTGTTTCCTTTGTTTCACTTCTCCTTTACCTGCCCTTCCCTTTCCTGATCTTTCTTGCTCTTTCCTTTTGTGTCCTTTCCTTTCATCTCCTTTGCTTTCCTGCCCTTTCCCTCTCCTCTCCTTTCCTTCACTTCTCCTTTCCCTCTCTTTCCCTTGCCTTTCCCTTTTCCTTCTGCGTCCACTTCACACTCCATTGGCCTAGCTTTCAGACCAGTGCATGATAAGAGCCAAGTAGATGGCACAATCCCCGGGGCATGGTCAGGCAAAAGTAGATGGCACAAGGTTTTTTGAGGTTGATGATTTAGCCCTCCCAAGTCTGGAAAAAGTAGATGGCACAAGGAAAATCGGCTCTCACCGGTAGAGGCTTGCAGGTGCCCAAAATGTTGATGGCACAACCCTAGAAACACGTTCCATCTACTTTTACCGCGGAGTATGTATATATATATATATATGCGTGTGTGTGTGAGTGTGTGTGTGTGTGATTTATCATGATCTGTCTAGGTGAGTAATCCTGGTGCTGGTTGCTTCTGGGCCCATGAGCAGCCTAGTGGTATGGGATGTGGCAAAAAAATCTGTCCGACAAACCTATCCGGTTCACGCTTGGTGCAGCTTCATATTGCAGCTCTGATTGTCTTCGTGACATCACCATCATACCGGGGACATCAAATGAACATAAAATCGTTCTTGCTCGGACGGCAACATACGCCTGTATCGCGGCTTTCTGGACAGCGTCTATGCCGTCACCATCTTCCCGTCACAAGATCGCGTGTTGCCGCGCATCTCTGATTCCAGCCCGGTACTGAATCGATTCAAGAACCACAGAACGAGGTCCAGACACGGCAGGGAGTACGAAGCACAGTCCTATCTATCTGTATATGTGGGGTCGCGGAATAAAGCAACTGACGCTCATTCAGGAGTAAGCGAATGTTCTTCGGTACGACTTGTCTACGGCATGATGCCATCTGTGGTAGGCCAATTGTTTCTGAGCCATGGGCCACTTCCTCTACCCCCCAACACTCAAAGACCGGACCTTATATACCGTGTACTGCTCGACTTCTAAGGGGCATTTAAAGACAAAAACCTCGGACATCAGAAGGGGGTAGGACCTCTTTGTTCCTCAGTTCACTCCACCCTGATGCCTTAGTTCTTTGGCATAGTGGCATGGTGGCGTGGTTGCGATTTTAGGGGCGTCTTCCTTTTTCATGAATGAGTTCCCCCGTATCCCGGCAATTGCAGTTTTTGAGAAGAGAGCAATGTAAGTGAAGCAAAAATCTGAGCTCGACAATCCAAACTGATCACAACGGTGAAGTCACGTTAAACAATCTAGGTCTGAGTAGCATGTAGGGTCACATGGCTCAGTCAAACCATGACAGTCCTCTTCCTGGCCCAGGTCGCTGCAAATTTGCAGTGGACGACGGCCTGCAATGAGCCTCCATGCAAGGTCATTCTCCATGGCTTCAAAATCATGTTCACCTCGAGCTGGGGGATCTGCCCTCCATGGAACTTGAAAGAAGTCTTGGCAACAAGTGACAATTTTGTAGTCCAATCGGAAGGTTCTCGGCCCATGTGGATGCACATCATCTTCGACTGCACAAGCATCCTCAAGCTGCGATGGGAAAACAAACAAGTCCGTTGCACTTGCTTTCTGTATCAGTCGCACACTTTGGTCGTGGCACGTCTCTGCTGCGGGTTGGCACTGGCCACTGGACTGGCACAGTCCCGCTGAAGGATGTAATCTAGCTCTCACATGCGCCGACAAAGATTTGCGGTCATCCAAATAGGCTTTGACCTGCGCAATCAGCTTGTTGTGACTCGCTGCAAGGTGATGCAGGCCGAGCGCGGCAATATGCTCAGGCTTGTCAGCCTGATTTCCGACAGGAATGTCACCATGCTGCGGCTTTTCAGGATCTGCAATGGGGCATGCGATGGCTAAAGGTGATTCAAGTGCAACACTTGGAAGCCGAATGACTCCACAGCCATCTCGCAACTGGTCGGATGCCAAAGCAGCGTTCCAAGCCGCCTCGAAATTGCGGAAGGTGATCCAAGCACGGTGCTGCTCGTGACCCGGCTGGCTTTCCAGCCAGGCTCGGATTGTTGTGGTGCGTGCTTCTCTCATGGTTATCTTCCCCCCCTCCTTGTCCCGGACCAACTGTATGAATGGCAGGATCCACGCCAGACTGGCAGCTCGAAAAAGGTCAGGCAGAAGACTCCAAGAAACTCCATCCTCCTCTACTCCAGCCATCAGCCATCGCAGAATCACAAAGCGATTGCCACCGCAAGTTGCTGCAACAAGCTCTTCCAGGGTATCTTCTGCAGAGGCGATTACAGAGGGCCTGAGAACATGCAAAAGCAAACCTGCTCGCACCCCTTCCTTCACATTGACCCAGGCTTCGGCTGGAAGACCCCTTCGTGCCAGCAGGTCAGTTGCCAGGAACTTGTTGGGGTCTGTCCCCTGGCTTGCCTGTCTGCGTAGAGCATGAACCCCTGGCAGTGGAAAGTCGCCGCTTGCACCTTTCTCACCCAAGATCGGCCGAATGATGGTGTTGTGAAACCAAATCTCGTAAGCAACTCGAGCCTCGTGAGTGGTCAGGTTCTGTCCGCTTGGCTGCTCCTGTGGCTGCAAAGATCCCAGCCGGTGAAGCACAGCATGCATGAAGAGCGTTGCAATTTCAAGGTTGCCACTAAGCAACTTGGCAAGAGCATCCAAATCAGCTTCCACATTCGCCATGAAATACCACACAGTGTCATTTGCGTTCCTCACTGGGTTGATTCGAGCAACCTGCCGAAGGTGTCCCTGCAAGAGTTGGACGATGTTTTCTCGCCCCTGCACCCATTCCATCTCAATCCCAACCAGGGCACTGGCATGGATCAAAAGATGGAGTACTCGAAATGTCACTGGGTGCAAACCGCTCTTCGGATCAGGAGGCTTGCCAAGTGGCTGATTCCAATCTTGACGGACTGTTTCAGACATGAGACTGTGGGAAACCACTGCCCGATCCGCTTCTGTCACTGAGATGTGCAAGTCAGCCTCCGTCAAGGCAAAAAGACCGGGAGAAGGTGGTGGAGGCTGAAAAGCAGCTGGGAACCCTTGGCTCATTGAGTGGAAAACCGGAGGCCACCCCGTTCCGTGTGGACGTGCAGTAACCACCACTGCAATCAGCTGCTGGTGAGGCGCAAAGGTGTGGTTCTGGCCTCCATTCATCAAAGTACAGCGACCTTCACCCTCCGGGCTTGGACATTTTGCGGCAGAGACAGGGGCACCGCATTCGGCATAGCAATAGCGGTACCCACACTGGCATTGGGCCCAACCTATGTTCCCAGTGACGGGGAGCAAGTGTTTGTGCAAACCTGAGTACCTCAAGGACTGCCACCAATCATCGGGCACTCCAGGCCAAAACGTGGAATTCAGAGTCGGTTCATCGATGTCGTTGAAAGCGGTGAAGGGCTTGATAGCTGATGGCAAGTTCTCCTGCCTCTGGTTGACGCTGGCGTGGGCGGCCCCGAGCAAGCAAACGAGGTGTGTGAAGATGGATGCTCGCCAAGCATGTTCGCCGTCCATGTTGAGGAAATCAATGTTCCACTCAGTCTCATCGTCTCCTTTCAATCGCAAAAGCTCTCCAGCCCGTCCAAGAACGCTCGGCAATTCGTCCGCTATTCGGCCTGCTAGGTCAAGTGTGTCATCGTCTTCGGCCGAGCATTGCATGCAAGCAACTTCTCCCACTGCTCGCATGATCTCAAGCAAAGCCTGGAAGGTCTCGCATTTCTTGCCGCAGATTTCTTTAAACCGTTGCGCAGCCTGCTCCGAGCGCGACTGATCTTCTGAACCTATATCATGCAGGCATCCCACTACTGATCTAACCTCCGGACGAACCTGGTCTGGCAGCAACAGCGACAAGCCCAGGGCGTTGGAAAACGTCACAGATTCTGCCCTGCAACCCTCAAGGAAACGGTGCAGGTCACTGTCACCCCCTCCTGTGTTTAAGGCAACCACCTCTAGCAAATGTTTGACAGCTGTGTTCGTTGGAAGTGGTCTCTCACGCCGTCGAGCTGCTGCAAGCACATAAAGGGATGCAAAAGCTGTAGGACGCTGCTCCACTCGAAGATCTCGCCCCTGGTAGGTGCACAACAACGTGCCAACATCGTCTGGAGGCAGCCCTCCAAGCTGCATCCCCAAAGCCTGAACGACATCCGTCAAAATGTTGTCCAACCTCTGCTCAAACATCTCGTCTTCCACTGCTGCCTCGACCAAATCGACACTCTGCAAAACAAGCTCTCTGGCAAGAACCAACGCGACAAAAACCTGAGACTTCACGGAGTCTCCCTCCCGCAGTACATTCAAGGCCTTCTTGAAAGCCTCCTCCAACATGGCTAACGCCTGCTTTGATGAGTTGCCAAACGTATTTTTGAGCGATTGGACGACCAGTTGGGAAATGACCAAGCCGAGTTGAGACGTCATTGACAAGGCAGCAGACAAGGATGCAACCAAAGGGATGTCCCATCCGACGCCCTCGACTCTGGAGGGCAACACAGCGTCTAAGAGGTGCATCAGTGAGGCACTCGTTCTCGGTTCAACCTCTTGCTCCTCCATTAGTGAGTAGAAAGACTGAAGAATTTCCTCGGAAACCCACTGCGTTTGCGACCAGCTGCTGAAGCTTGTAACCCGAACCCTGGGGACAAGATGTTCCATCAAATAGATGGAGATCTGTTGGAGGTAGGGTTTCAGTGGGCACAACTTTTGGAAGCAGCCCTCTGAGCGGTGAATAGCTTGATTCATCAGGGCAAGGCAAGCCTCAAGTGCAGACGGATCTGCTTTGGACTCCTCGCTTAGGAGCTGCAATGCGTATGATACTCCAACAAGCGGGATCGTGGTGTCAATGTTGTGTATTTCAACTAGGCCCGCCAAAGCCAAGAGCAAATGTTTTTCCGAGTTGTTCCTGCCGAAGATAACAAGCTGTCAAAAAACAACAAACCTCAGCTGAATACAACATGCTTGAACCGCATGAACGATGCTTCACGGTCTTTATGTTTGTTTTTGGTGTTTTGAACGTGCTCTAGCACACATTCCATGTTTTTCCCGCTCTTTTTGGGCAAGCCCTTCACAAAGAACTCCGGGCACGAGCCTCATGAAGGTCCAAATGCTAAGAGCTTGTTCTGGCGAAACGCCGTGCGAAAGCATGTGGCTGATGGCTGCAACACTGACCTGGCCACGTGTCAGCTGTGCAAAAAAAAAAACGACCCTTCCCCCCTGGTTCTGTCTCTCTCTCTCTCTCGTAGAAACCATCCAATTCCAACTCTGTCCCATGGCAAGTGGCCACAGTTGCATCACTGCAACCCACGGTGATGACGAAATCTTCGATGGTCACAGATAGCTGGCGTAAGAGCTGCAAAGACTCCTGCCAATTTGTCCGTTCCGCCATTCAAGTTTCATGTCTCATATCTACCTGACATAAACGCGTCAGGCGTCTCTTTTTGTCACCCACGCTGGCATTGCCCAACATAAGTCGAAAGGTGTTTTCTCGCCAACGCGAAGACTTCAAAATGGACAAGTTTACAGCCTGCAGTTTCAGGTTTCAGCTATCGAATTCCAAATTAACGACATCACCCTTTCACGTGTCCCAACCTGGCTCTGCCGTCAAACTCTTGTTTCAACAGTTGCGACGCAGAACTGCTCCTTTAGAAAAGCTCAATTGTAGATGAGAAACCATGGAAGTGGGATCCTGCAAAGAAATCCTTGCGGACCGGCTAGGATGTGGGCTTGCGTGCGTTTGCGCAATGAAATGTGTGGCTGCAGGTCCTGCCCCTAAGGTGTTTTCAAGGCGATGTCTATGCAGATTTCTGTGCGTGTTTACAGTGAAATATGCGAATTCAGGTTGTGCCCCAAGGATCTCTCTAAGGCAAGGTTTATGCGGGTTTACGTCCAGTTTTCCAGAAATATGCGTGGATTCAGGCTCTGCCCCAAAGAGATCTCCAAGGTGATGTTTATGCGGGTTTGTGTGTGTGTGTGCGTTCTTACACTATACAGGTCTGCGTGAGTTTTTGTGGTAGAATGTGTGCTTTCAGGGCGCCCCAAAAATTTTGTAGGTGATGTTTGAACAGGTTAATGTGCAACGTTACAATCAAAGCTATGGATTCAGGCCCTGCCCCAGAAGGTGTCTCCGAGGCTATGTCCATGCAAGTTTGTGCGCTGTTGCAATAAAATGTCTGGATTTAGGTCCTGCCGCAAAGCTGCCTGTCGATGTTGATGTGGGGTGTGCGAGTGTTTTTGCGATTCAGGTCCTGCCCCTAAGATGCCTGCCGCGATGTTTTAGCATGTTGTCTCCAAGGCGATGTTTATGCAGGTGTACGTCAACTTTTACACCAAAAAATGTGTGGATTTAGGCTCTGCCCCAAAGAGATCTCCAAAGGTGATGTTTATGCCTAAGTCTAAGTGGTCTGGGAAAGCACTATGTGTGGAAATTAAGACTCTTATTCCTTCACTCAGGACCTTGCTCATGGTGTCGGCTTTGAGCAGCCCTGGGTCTGAATTTATGTGCTCAAACGTTGAACCCACAGTGACATACAGGCAACACGATCAAACGAGGGTTGCGGCAACCCTTTCTCTGTCCTGGACATCATCACCAGCTGCAGCACTCAGGCAAAGCAATTCTTCCAGATCTGCAGCATGTAGTTCAAATGCTGCTCGGACCCCTCTTTTCAAGAAGGTGTTCCACGTTCCAGCCACTGGGAAGGGATCTAGAAGAGGCTCCAAGTATTCGGTCCAGCTGCGAGTCGTGGGAAATTGCTTTTGCAAAGCTGCGACCTGCTGCGAGATGGGTCGTAGCATCGCTGCTGCCACTGCTGGCAGAAGTGCTCTCAACACATGCGGATCCTCAACTAACACTGATTTCTGACCCTCACCACAAGTGTGAACATAGCTTTCTTGTTGTGAAGCCACATTGCGCACCAGGGCAAGGACAAGCTGGTCGAGATGGGAACGGACACTTTCGAAACTTGCTTGGCCTGCATCAAGCCAATCCTGCACGGAGGCACACGCACGTGCAGCCATTTCAATGATCACATCATTGCCCAGCAGGCCAATCCCATCAGTCGCCTCATCCAACGTCACCTGTTCCCCCACTGCTTTCAAAGCTTCCCAAACTGCAACAGGCAGGCAATGCCGGACTACTGCTGACAAGCGGATGGTTTCACGAAGCAAGACTTCGGTGAAGTCTTGCTCTGGCAGCAGATTCTTGGTTTGCAACTGGGGCAGAATGATTTGCATCACAGCCACGCTTCCAGGCATCAAAAATGCTCGTCGGTTGCTGGAATGAAGTTGTGACAGCATCGGCTCACGGCAAATTGGTTGACTTGGAGCGTTCAACAGCGATTGGGCCACCGGTCTCCAGTGATCACTTCGCACAAACTCATGTTCCCTGCTGTCTGCGGGGGTCAACCAGCTAGAACGTCTGGTCAAAAGCAGGGGTTCTGATTGGACAATGCTTGGACAGCTGTTATGCAAACTGTGAAGCCATAGCGCCTTCATGACCGGCAGAATCTTCTCGTCTTGTCGTAGATGTGACAGAAGGGCCAGCTGGAATGGGCCCGTGCGTCGCAAGAGCTGGATGTCTTTTGCTACATAGACGCGCCACTGAGCCTGACAATTTGTGAAGAATCAAAGGCTTCCCTTGTACAATTCTGATTGCGCTGAGGAAGACGAAAGGCAACTGACACGCAATACATCCCAGACTCTCAGACTCAAACAACCTCGAATAAAAGAACACAAGCAAACGACACCACCATCTACACCTTGACTACCTGCATGCCAAAGCTAAGCAGCAACCCCAAAAGAAACCAACATCAAGTCGATTCCGCAGCATTGAACTTGCGAAGCACACCACAGCATAGACCCCAAATAGCAACTGACTCTAAAAACAAAAGAAGCTGAGAAAAAACAATCAAGTGATTCACGAAAAGGAGCCCTGAGAGCCTCCAGTGACCGCGAGCGGGTCCAGCAGAACCTCTCGGCATGACTCGGCAAATCTCATAGCTTTCTTCGGGCTCCCTGCCCGCAGTCTCCGATCGCACAGGGAGAGAAGGCCGCAGCAGCAAACAAAAGACCGATCACACAGCCAGGCAAGTGGGGATTGCGAAGAAGTGGGGAGACCAGGAAGCAGCAGCAGCAGCAGGGGACCACAACGCCGATCAGCCACCCAGCCATTGAAAAGTAAGAACCCCTACAGCTTGCAGCTAACTTGGGAATTACACTACATAAAGGAAAAACAAACAATGAGAAGTTATGGACAGCGAACCTCCGACTCCTCTGATCCCGAACCTCCAACCACCTGCGCCAATATCTCAGCCTCCTCACCCTTTTCAACCTCCTTAAATGCCTTCCCAACCACTCCTGAACCTGCTTAGGGGCCCGCGGCGGAACCTCCCAGCTGAAAGCCCCACCACAGAATGAACCAGAAAGCGCCTGCTCCATCGACAGCTGCTCACTCAGAACAGAGCGAACACAACTGACCAACTCTGGCTTGTCGTTGATCTCTTGCAGCAAGGATTGGACGATGACAAAGCTGTCTGCGTGTTGGGAATCAAATCCAAAACGAGGAACTACATGAGGCAATGCATCTGCAAGAATCCTCCGGAAACGATCCGGAGATGGCTCTTCAAGACCGTAAATCTCTGCAATTGTGCCCTTCAAAAGCTCCTCAGGTCGCATTCCCCATGGCAACACGTGCGAAAAGTGATCGACACCAACCCCAGTCCATTCACACTTCCTCACATCCAAAGTCGAAGGCCTACTCTGACTCTGTTCAGCACCAGGTCCAGCTAACAGAAAAGGTCGCATGCTATGTTCCCCGCCACTTCCTCGCACACCATGAACAACCAAAGCTAGAATGTGCAAGCCAAATCCTTTGAGCTTGCCATTGAGGCTGCCCTCGATCTGTTCAGCACACCACTCCAGTTGAAACCGCATGTAATCCACAATGTCCTGGGCATCGTCTTGCTTCATATTCACGTGCACATGCAAGACTGAGAGGATTTGGCCGTTGCTCCCTGATAGCCGCTTTTCAATCTGCTCGATATGTTCTTTCATGTTCTCTCTCAAAGCAGCTTCGGAGATGATGTTGGCGATGCACACCTTGGAGAAGACCTTCTCCTGATCTTTCAAGCCTGGCATTGCCTCCAGGTCAAGTGATTGATTCGGGTCGCTGAAAGTCGGAACAAGCACTGGAACGATCACATGGCCTGCTGAATCGCCAAACTTGTTGTACAATTCCCTCATGAGTTCTCCAAAGTGTGACTTTGAGCTTCGACAATATGTGTGTGAATCCATCCGTCCCTCCAGCATGCAGTCCGGCGAGGCCAATAGTGAGAACAACGCTTCCTTTGTCACGGCACTGCCCACGCAGCCATCTTCAAGCGATTCAGACTGAGCATTTCGCATGAAAGCCGACATCGTGAGAGTTTGCAAAAAAAGGCCCAGATCAGGCTCATACGAATTCATTGGGCAAGCTGCAACGACGTCTGTCGGCCGTTCTCCGTTCTTTCCCTGCACTGCTGGGCAAGCCTTGGCCAGCTGCTCCTGCCACTCAAGAACTTCGTCCATGGAGGGCAACAAATCTTCCAATTCCACCTCAGCTAGGACGCCACTGCGGTCAATACACAACCATGTCCCTGACACTCAATCCGGATGCGACTGCTGCGCGACGCTGCCCAAGTGGAGGATAATATATATATATATATATGTGTGTGTGTGTGTGTATGTATGTATGTACGTATGTTTAAATATATACATATATGTATATATACATACAGTACACGTAAAGCTCAAGTGTGCGCGCTTAGAGCTCCAGAACCTATCTCTGAGACAAATCCATGCCAGGGGGCGCAAGCCATCAAAGAGAAAAATGTCATTGTGGGTGAATCGACAAAAGGAAAGCGGAAAGGGGAGGTCATGGAATGTTTGGGGAGTCACGCTCCAAAAGAAGAACAAGGCCAAGAGAACAAAAGAAGAGTCCTTGTTACCTAGTTACGAGGCTATGAGTCCTTCAGCATCGTCCTCCTCGTCTCGGGTGTCGGAGCTGCGATCTACCTTGCGCTTGGCATTGCAGGAGAACACGAGCAAGGGCAAAAGTATCATGGAGACAGTGCAGTGAAGGAGATTGCGGGAGATGTGGACGAGCAGGAGGAAGAAGGATTTGAACCTTCGCAAGAAGCTCTACAACAAGCTTGGTCGCTTGAACCAGGTGAAGGTGGAGAAGACCAAAGCATGCGAAGCCTTTCAGCAAGAACTTGTGAATCTCCTCGGAAGGCAAATGGAGAAGTATTCCATTAATCCAAGCATATGGAGGAGATCGACCTTGGAGATTGCCAAGGTGCAGGAGAAAATCGAAGATCTGGACACAGATTTGGCGCTCAAGGAGTCCAAGGATTTGACTGTGGGGGGGGTCCAGGGCAGTTGAGACATTCTAAGGAGCTCTGGACGTTGTTGGACCTGTGGAGCAGAGAATTTGCCAAGTCGACGTGGGCAACAAGTTGCTTGGGTTCGCCCTGCGAATGTGCTTGTACCAGGCTGGCCAGAGGAAATTCTCCCTCCTCGAACATCTGCAAAATGCAGCAGCTTACAGGGCGGACAAGAAAAGCTCGCCGGGCATCTGGCGGGCTGGGCAGGACTGTTTGTGGAACTCTCTTTCGAGCAGGGACACTTCAACCAGTCCAGTCCCAAGCCAACTCAGTGATGTTGACCTCACTACTACTGCTCGGGATGTCGAACTTTTGAATTGGACGTCTGCAAGGCCTCTGCGGCCTCTGCCATTGGATGGGAAGGAAAAGCTTTCCGCACAGCCAAGTTGAAAGAATACGTACGCTATGCAATATGGTCGCAAGGCTTTTCAAGCACCGGTTGATGGGTTGAGGGGAGGGCCGTGGAAGAAACTCCCGAAGAGCTCGACTGGCTGTTCAAGCACCAGACCGATGGTCCAGCCCCGATTACGCCGGTGTGCACAGATCTAATTGTATCAGAATTTACTCTGCTAGGCCGGCGACGCGCTTAACTGCACTGACCGCTCATGGAAATGGAAATGGAAAAACAGTACATGTTTGTCGCAAGGGACTCTGCTGTGTCGATACCTAGTTCAATTGAAAGTTGTTGCGTTGAATGGGCCTGGCGCCTCTACCAGCCCACGTCACCGAGACCTCAGATACAGAGGCAGCCAAATCTTTCTTCTTGGTCTCTTGAGCCTGCTCTGTCCGATCTTACTAAGTCTTGCTTGTCGCAGAGCACCAGTAACGATACATGACACCAAATGAAGTTGCGGAAGTCTGATTGTTCATCTGCCTCGCCATACAGGCGCAAACAGAACGAATACATTGCAAGTATTGTGACAGTGCTTGGGGTAGTGAGGCACGTGCATGTGTCTATGCCACGCATATGCATGCACATTTATATATATATATATATATGTGTGTGTGTATGTATATGTCCGCGTGTCTGTGTGTATCTCAACTATGCAGCTAAGCAAAGAAGGAGAAAAAGTATCCACAAAAGGACATTCTACGCGGCTTCGACACATTCTTGAGAATATTGGCCTGGAAAGAACCAAACACGGGAAACAAGGAGTCCAAGCAGTCTGTGTGCCTGCAACTGGCATGTTGACATGTAACCTTGGCTCCGGCCTCCAGCTTGGCAAAGCGATTCAGCAAAGCTGGTTCATACCTCGCAGCTCGTTCGCGAGTCACCACAAGGACTGCCTTGAACTGATCTGCCACCGCGCACCGATTGTTGCAGAAGCCTTGCCGAGCAATTCGGCAGTACCTTTGACTGTTGAGGCCACTGGCACGGCTGGAGTTGGAGTTGAAGACATCGTACAGGGCTGCGTAGATGATGTCCAAGTTCTGCAATATGAGGAGGCGCCTTTCCTGCGCCATACTCACAATTGCAGCTTGGATCATGGATTGAGCATACATCTCAGTGCTCACCTGATCCTGTTTCAGTGGGCTTCCAACCAAGCTCTCAGGATTCCAATTTGCCACTTGACGAGCCCGGTGCTGAATCCAAGCAATCACAGGCCCAGGAGAGTCAGTAATTACCATGATATGCCGGCCGGCCACATCACCGAGCAAACTGTCCAAGCGATTCGAGACATGGAGGATTTCTGAATAGATTTCTTCAAGAACTGGTATCGACTGGTGGGTTTGCTGGTGTTCATTCTGGCTGAGGCTGTGAAGCATCTTGTCAAGTGCACCTGAGGAGTGGTTGCCACTCATGTTGTTGAGGACTGCCATCGTCAAAGCCCAATCTGCCGGCACGAACTGCAAATGCCTTTCCCGACATAATTTGACAAGTTGCTCAGCTTCTTTGCCCAGCTCATCAGAAACCGCATGCATCAAAGCTCCATGCTTCACTTCTTCGCAACCCCAACCCATCTCCACATCTGCAGCCAGCAGCAGGCGTGCTGCAAATGAGCACATCCCGTACCAATCGCGGAGACCATGAAAGTCTCGGGGCATCTGATTCTGCAAAATCTCCATGAAGGCAGCTGCCACGTGGCCTAGACTGGCTTCTAATTGGCCACGGATCTCACTTTCATGGGACAAATCCGCCGACCCCTGCTCTGGCGAAGGCAGGGGCGGCGCCTGGGACCACCGAAGGTGTGGAACCTGAGCTCTCCAAATCCTTACTTTTCTGGGCCCGAAAGCAAAAGCGCCAAAAGTTCGCACTTGCTAGACTGTGGGCTCTGGGCTCTGTGCCAGACTGTGGGCCATACTGGCCGTTGGAGCAGCCAGCTTCTGGATTCTGGACGCTTCAGACGCTCCAAAACCTCGC